GGGTGGGCTCAGTGCCGGCCACTCTGCACTGACATCTCCCCCCCTCCTCGTACCTTGCTGAGCTCCTTCTGGTACTGCGGCATCTTCTTCAGCATCTGGGACAGGTCTCTCATGGTGGTCTGCGAGGGAAAGGGACATGGTCACTCACCCTTGGGGGCTTAGGGCTGGGAGTAAGACTGTGAGCAGGGAGGGGACCTGCCAAGGACCCTGTCCCCGTGCGAGCCCCTCGCTGGGGTTTGGTGACCCCTGCCATGGCATTGTTGGGTCTCCTCTGCTGCGGCTGAGGGGCAGGGAGGGGGCCTGCAGCTCTGAAAACCAGAATGCCGGGGGGAGAAATCCCCCCAGGACCTTCCTCTGGGACCACCGTGCGTTGGGCTGAGGCTGAGATGGTGCTTTCAGCTTCTGCCTACTTTTACGTCCTATTTCTAGTGAGGGCCCCTCACCGCCACCGACACGGGGGCTCGGGAAGGGAACCGGCAGGGGACAGAGGCAGCTGCTGCGAGAGGTGCACGGACCCCGTGCTGGGGGCAAACTGACCTCCGTGGCACAGCGCCCTCCCGAGGCGCCCTGTTTCCCCGGACGTAGGACCAGCACCCCTGTCATCTCCCCCCATCACTGAGCACCCTCAGCCATTTGCAGAGGTCCCCATCAGGTATCTCCAGGAGACTCCACCATGTGCCAGCCCACGGCCGAGCCCCCCGTGTGCCCGTTCCCTGCTCGGCGGGGGCAGTCGGGTCACCTTATCGCCCGTGTTCATCCTCTTGCTTGAAGAAAACTCCTTCAGGGACCGGGTCACCTCCCTGGGGAGAGGAGGAGGGCAGAGCCATCAGCGGGGAGGGGACCCTGGCAGCGGGGTGGGTGGCAATACCAAGCTGATGCCCCACCCAGCTGGTAAACCGCCCGCAGAGACACTCACTGGGACACCTCGGCGATGTGTTTGTGGCGCAAGGTGACCCACAGGTCGTCGTCCTCATCCAGCAGAACCTCCTTAATCCGGGCTTCCCCGATGCCGCTTGTTTCATACCTGGGAAGAGGGCAGGGAGCGTCACAGCAGGGATGGGGCTGAGGGGGCAGGTGGTCCCCTCGCTGCTGGGGACAATGTGCAGCTCTGGGGAGGTGGGGGGACATGAGGGCTCTTTTTGGCTTATTTCAAGTTGGTTTTGCATCTTGACCTTTTTGTACCCCTTCAGCTGCCAAATGGTGGGAAGGGATAAAGGGCTGAAGGCTGGAGAAGCCCCTTCTGCATCAATCCCGCCCATCATGCCTGCCAGGCTGCAGGCAGGGACGGTTTCTCCCAACCAATGACTTGGGATGGACGGAGGGATGCTGAGGCTCAGAATTCATCACTGAGCTTCCAACTCCCGCTCGAGGGCTGGACTGGTGGGTGTCATGGGGGGGCCAGCGGGGCCAGCAGCACCGCACTCACTTGTAGACATCGTTCTCGATGGGCAGCAGGTCGTAGCTCATCGCCTGGAAGGTCAGCTCGTGCAGCACCGGGGAAGCAGGATCGAAGCCGCGGTCCAGGATGAGGAGCTGGGAACGAGCCTTGTCCGGACCCTGCCGAGGCGGGGGAGCCGTCAGCAGCGGGGCCAGGGGCTCCTCCAGCCCTGCGGGCGGTCAGGGAAAGCTGGGGCCGTTTTGGGGACCCTGCTTGGGGTCTGCTCTGCATGGCAGAGCTCGAGCAGGATTTTAGGAGTGAAGTGTCACCCAAGTGTGCTCCTTGTGCGCTGCCGGTACCATCCCTGCTCACCTCGCCCATGGTGGGGTCATCAGCCTTGTAGGCGTCCAGCTTGTCCTGGATGAGCTGTGCCAGCATGGCATTGTCCTTGTAGTCCCTGGGGGAGGCAGGAGGAGAGGTCAGCTCCCCGGGCAGGCTGCTCTCACCAGCGTGGGACAGGGAGGAGCTGCTGGTTTCCCTGTGCGACACCCTCGGCTCAAGGCAGAGGAGGGACCTGAGCAGGTTTCGCTGCCCCTTTCCACCTCTCCTCGAGGTGCTCCACTGTGCCTTGCTGCCACTTGGCTCCCACCCCCATTTTAGGCTCTCCAGAGCATCACCCGAGTCTGAGCCTGTTTCTGCACTGAGCATGGGTGTCTGTCTGTCCCACCGTCTCCTCCATCCTCTCGCCAGCATCGGACACAGCCCCATCCATGCCCCGTGCTCAGCCCTGCCCCAGCCCCACTGCGCTGCTGGGGGAGAGGGCAGGTCCCTGGGGGGGTGCAGCCCACGCTGCCCTTACCCCCTGTACCGCACGGCCGGGTACTCCTTCAGCGTGGCGCACAGCGTGGCGATCTGCTCTGCCAGGCGCTCCAGGATCGGGTTCTTCATCTGGGCCTTGTGGGGGCTGTAAAAGCTTTGGAAGGAGTCGGCCGAATCCAGGGAGTAAACCTGGGAGGTGCAGCAGGAAAGGGGTTAGAAGGGATGTGCTGCAGGGCATGTCCAGAGGAGAGCTGCCCCTCGGGACACCCCGGTGGGTTTTGAAACCAGAGTCAACCCCAGAAGAAGGTGCCCAGCTGGGCCTGGGAGCGGGCAAGTGGAGCTCAGTGATGCTCGGGGTGACCCTTGGGCTTTCAGTTGCCAGCTCTGGACCCCGACACCTTCCCCAGCTCCGGCTCTGCAGCATGGCTCCCCCCCATGTGTAGCCCCCCAGGGCGAGCAGAGGAGCCAGGGGACCCCCTGCCCACAGCAGTGACCTGCTCCCAGGCAGGGAGCCACAGACCCGGGGACAAAGTGGGGACATGCTGCTCCCGGGCTGTGCCACCAGCAAAGACCAGAAGCCAATGTGGCTGCACGTGGGGATGCCAAGAGGTCATCTGCCACCTGCTTTCCTCCCCAGGAACGCTGCAGCTTGAAGGGCTAACGGCACCAAGCAGGTCCTGCGCCATCTGTCCCTCCCTGTCCCTCCTCATCCCCATGTCCCAGCGGGGGCGGATGGCACGGGCTGGCACCCCAGTGCCCTTGGCTGGGGCCGTTCCAAGGGGGCACAGAGCCAGCTGATGCGGCCGCCGGGGCCGGGCCAAGAGGCACGGGCACGGCAGGGGGCCC